TTCATCTCTTGTATTACAACCCCTTTGTCCATTAATGCAGATTATTCATGTTTAACAAACACGTTTTTGGTGGATCAACACCTCTTTTAAATGATGCGAATGATGAGAACAAAATGAAAGAGAAAAAAAAAAGAGTTAGTGAGGTAAATCAAAACAATAATAAAAATGAAAAATCCTACTCCACATGATATCTACCCCATATACTTATTATTCCTACCCGGACTTGATTTCTATCATGTATGCTAACTTCAAACAAATCCTAACCACATATTTGTCTAGTTCGCATGCTTTGAACAGAAAATAAAGCAGGAAACAAAACAGCCTAGGGTTTGGAATGAGGTTTTGGGGTGGGCTCTAATTCCCTGCACTCTTCCGGTTTAGGTTCTAAAAACGGTACCCGAGTTCTCCTTGTCGGTGCCCCCTTGGGCTTGCCAGACCCTTAGTCCTAAGCCCATTACAAGCTTGTGTGGACTAAGTTAAACTCGAGAGGAAACATTCTCTTATGCCCATACGGAGAATAAATTCACACGAAGACATAAGGTATATGAATCCCGAAGGCTAATTGCTAGGCCCGTACGGTGAATAAATTCACACGAAGGCGTCGCTTTCACCCCCACTTAAATAGGGTTTGGAGCTCGGGCATAGAGCGTGAGATAAAAACTTTTCAAAAATCTGAAATCATTGAAAAAAATGTTAGTACAACTATTTATTTGAAAAATAATCAAAGGTAAATAATTGGAATCGAATAAATAAATTAAAATTAAAATTTGTAATTTTCGCTAAAAAGACAACCGAAAAATTAATTCAGGCCTGACTCACTTACCTGTCCCCAGCAGAGTCGCCAAGCTGTCGCAACCGTCTTTCGGTTGGACCCCAAAATTGAGCTTTGACTTGAATGAATTGGGTTAGAGTCGCCACCGATCAATTTAAAACGATATTTAGGTAGATCGGACACCATCTTACCTGATATGCGTTTTACCATAAATGTGTCGGGTTCGGGAGTCGGTTACGGTCAAGGAAGGATTAGCACCCTTGAACCGCCCTTTCGGTACCAATTAATTTATCGGTTGTCTTTATTGGCAAAAATTAAAATTAAAATTTAAAAATCTGATTCAAATTGCTTACCTTTGATTGGTTGGAGTTACTACAAATAAATATATATGCGCGCAGTGACAAACAGCTGCAATTTCGGCCTTCTAGTCGCCAAACAGTTGAAAATATAACTCCAGATATCGATACGAAGATTTAAAGCGATGCTATGATCAGTGATTTGTTTCGAAAGACTAGAGCTAGCGAGCATCAAAGCATAAGGAGTCAAAGCGTTCTCGAGAATGTACTGGCATTGCGATGTAATCAATGTTAACCGATAAGCATTTCAAAGTGTTATCCGCGTGAGCTCTCTCCATCGAGTCCTAAGAATTGTACAGCCTCTCGCATAATGCTTCTAACTGCGCCAAGTTCTCCATTACCTCGATTACCTTGAAGATGGAATTCCAGATAAGCCAAATTGCACGGAAAAACCGAGCATCAACCCTAAAGGAATTTTGGAACCCAAGTTTAGTGATCACCCTATCCGTTTTGCTGCCACTAACCCGAGTTTCAAGAACAGCCACCATATCCAGCTTATGTTCTCTCGTGTACTCCTTGAAGATTTTAGGAAATCTAACACCTCCATTTCCCTGACAATTCCAAGTTATAAATTTAAAATCCACAACAAAAATGAGTTAAGATAATAAACCTTTACTGCTCTACTGCAGCTGCGTTAACAAGGGCATTGATTTTCTCATAACCAGCCTCAAGTTGCCCATCAATACTTTGGATAACCTCCTGCATCGCCTCCTGAACTGTTGGACCCACTGAGAAGCTAGCGTGAAGTTCAACACCTTTATTGTGCATAACATAAGGGGCAGCCCGTCCCTTTGGTCCCAATTGATCGACTTGTAAAAGGAAGTGATAGGTTGTTCTTGGGTTGGACGGAACATCACTGAACGGTGAACTGATCCGAAGAGGTCTTGCATTTGCAAACAGACGATGAACCAAAAAAATATGGACAAACCGAATGTCCGTTTTGTTTGGAACCCTGCTCTACTTTTAGCCTCCTTCCCCCTTTTCCCTGCTAAATAACCCCCTTTTTTTATTTAGGAGTAGGCCTTTTAAAAGTGATGAAAGTGGTGAACATGGGGCCAATAATTATGGAGAGGTGGGTGGTGAGATTATGGACATTGTGGGGGTATTGAAATGGTGGAGATAGCAATAGAGGTTCCCTTATTTTTGGGTAGTGGGTAGTGGTGGAGTAGTGGGTTTGAACATGGGTTCCTACAAAAAATAAAATAAAGAAATTATTAATAATAATAAATAAATTATAATAATAAAAATATAAAACTTGATCAAAAACGGGTGTCTACAACTATGAATAAAAATAAGTTAACTTATAATTACTTATTTAAATTATTCAAAATATTACTGTTGGCACATTTTAAACTCGAGATGAATTATAATATAAAAATCCATTTAAATGCATCATCTAATCAAATCTTAACATTCCATCTACACTCAGGCAATGACTTCTATTTTATTATTATTATGTTTCCACTTGTAATTATTTAAAAAAACTCTATGTATTAGAGCAACATTATCTCCAAACCGAAAAAGATGGGCACATTTGCCTTTTTAGTTTCAACTTAAACAGTAGGTGATGACTCCACTAGCCGGCCTCCTCCTGAGATTCTTCCACCTATCGAGAAAGTTGATCATACCCATCCTCTTATTTCCTTTTTCTGTTGAAGTGTTATCCCATTCTCCCTTGTCTCTTATATGTAGTGTAATTGACCCATATATACCACACAACGTAGTTATATTACATTCCTTCTCGTTAAAAACTTAAAACATACACAAAATTATAGTTATATTAAAAAAATTAGAAGTTATAGAGATAACTCACGCGAAATATTTAATACAGCACATTTTAATAAAGTTTAGATTTATTGAACATTTTTCGAATATTAAAAGGAGTTTTATTTTTTTTTAAAGACAATAAATTTATAAACAAGTGGGTATTTTGTTTTACAAAATGGCGAGGTGGATGTAATCGCTGGTCCACTCATTGTGGAACACCACATCCCATCCCATCCCCCACCCCACAACCACAACAATTTTATGGGCTGTTTCAGCCAATTGCCTTTCCCTTGCATCCTTTTCTCACAGCAACACCCTGTCTTGTTGGAATCCATGGTGAATTTTATAAAGTTAAAATTGAAATGTCTGTATAGTATATTATGATGTAATAATATTTTTTAAAAGAATATATTTCATTAATTTTAATTTAATTTAAAATAATTGAATAAATTTAATTTTTATATTCATTTTATTTCACTGCTATTTTTTTTGAACAAGGTTCACTGTTAAATTAAATGAATATATACAACCAAAATAGTAATGGGATAATTTTATTATAATAATAAAAAAAGATAACATACACTATTTCTCATTGAACTTTATTATATCTCTCATTTTACTCACTGTATTTTTAATTTTTCTAATTTGCTCACCAAACTTTCAAATTACTCCTGTTTTGATCACTCTTAATTGTTTTATTATTATTTTTATATGATGCGACATTTATTATTATTATTATTATTATTATTATTATTTAATTTTAAAATATAAAATAAAAATAAAAGGTGGTAAAACGACACTATCGATTGTCGTAGATAGTTGTCATTCAACCCCAAATTTCATGAATTAGTTTGTCTCGACTCCCTGAATTCGAATCCGGTGGTTGTTTCACTGGAAAATATCTTAAAACTCGTAATTCTCAGTTGAAACATTTCGGCTTACTCATTTTCGATCTCGAATTCATGGACTTCAGAGCGAATTTTGACAAAATAGAAGTCAAATTCGGACTCATGGTGTCGAGACGAAACAACCCGTGAAATTTAAGACCTAATAGACGCCATCTACGGCGGTCGACGACGGTGTCTGATCATCTTCTATTTTTATTTTATATTTTATATTAAATAATAATAAAATTTGGCATGTCATACATAAATAATAATAAAATAATTAAGAGTAATTAAAACATGAGCAATTCAAAAGTTTAGTGAGTAAATTAGATAAACTGAAAGTACAATAAGTAAGATAGGAGACATATTAAAATTCAATAAAGAATGGTGCAATTTACCCAATAAAAAATTGTTAAATTATTATTATATTAAAAATAATAAACAATAGAATAATAAAATTATTAAATATAAAAAATTAAATTTATGAATCATATTCTAATTAAATGATATATTTTAATTATATTTTAAATAAAATGAGAAATTTATTATTAAACTCATAATTAAATTGCATTAAATATTTATTCAACAAAACTTAATAAAAATAATAATCTTTTAAAACATTTCCGAAATTAGTCCTTTTAAAAATTTAAACACTATGTGCTTCGTTTTATTAATGAAAATTAAACTTTTGACAGTATGATAAATTTTTTAAAGATTCTAAAGATTAAAGAGAGTTTTATTTTCGTTAAAAATATAAGATTAATATAACTGCGTTTCTAGATGTATACATGCTATCAATAGTTTAAGGAAATATGAACCGTTACTACACCTTGCTTAAGCGTTATTTTATTATTAAATATATTTTAAATCAACCAACGACTAGTTGATCTAATTAGATGAGACAATAGATCTCATAAGTAAGATAAGAAGTTTGAATACTGACGATTACGAATGTAGTAAACTGAATTGAAAAGGTCACTCTTACCTCTGTAGCACTCGATCTAAATTAATCGATCAATAAAACAAGTATACAAGTATCGGTGGTTATACAAATATATATATATATATATCATTAATTAAGTAATCATAGAATATATATTTATAAATTAACCAATCCTAGGATGACACTGTCCTAACCGACCCATTGGGTCCGAGAATACATCCAACGAGTTTAAAACTTGGAGTACCCTTTCTCTGATCCATTATTTAAGAAAGAACAAATTGGTCTATTTTCATCCCCCAAAGTATGAATTCTGTCCTTCCTTGGCTGTTGTTTCTCCAACTAGTGACTATGGCCGCTGCCGTAGAGCCTCTCCGGCCAGGGTTCTACTCCCAAATATGTCCACCGGCTGAACTCATAGTCAGAGATGTGATGAAGAGAGCCTTGATTAGGGAGCCAAGAAGCGTCGCCTCTGTCATGCGTCTTCAATTTCACGATTGCTTCGTTAATGTATACTTGAAAACAAAACAAAAGTATCCTCCCTTTTTTATTTTCTTCTTTGTCCATGATTTTTGTTCTTCTATTTTCAGGGTTGTGATGGTTCTGTGCTGCTAGATGATACACCAGACATGCTTGGGGAAAAGCTAGCTCTTTCCAATATTAACTCGCTGAGATCTTTCGAAGTCGTCGATGAAGTTAAGGAAGCTTTGGAAGTTGCTTGCCCTGGAATCGTTTCTTGTGCTGATATCTTAGTCTTAGCCGCCAGAGATGCCGTTGCTCTGGTACTACTCTTGGCTCTTAGTATGTTGATTTCACTACGATTGTTTTCTTCCTTGCGAGTTGTTAACAGTTGCTTTACAAATATCAGACTGGAGGACCCGATTGGGAAGTGAGACTGGGAAGAAAAGATAGCTTAACAGCCAGTCAAGAAGACTCGGACAATATAATGCCAAGTCCAAGAGCAAATGCAACTTCTCTGATCAATCTCTTCAGCCAATTCAATCTATCAATCAAGGACCTTGTTGCCCTCTCTGGGTCACATTCCATTGGTGAAGCCAGGTGCTTTTCAATCATGTTCAGGCTCTACAACCAATCAGGGCCCGGCAAACCTGACCCTGCCATCGAGCCAAGGTTTAGAGAAAAGCTGGACCAGCTTTGTCCACTCGGAGGAGACGAGAATGTAACCGGACCCCTCGATGCAACCCCTACAGTGTTTGATAACCGGTACTTCAGAGACCTGGCTGTTGGAAAGGGGTTTCTGAATTCCGATCAAACACTTTTCACATCTCCTCGGACGAGACCATATGTTAGGCTGTTTAGCAAAGACAGAGATGAATTTTTCAAGGCTTTCGTTGAGGGGATGTTAAAGATGGGAGATTTGCAGATTGAGCAGCCCCGTGAGATACGAACAAATTGCAGGGTGGCCAATAGCCGAACTGTGGATGTATTAATGGAATCTTGAAGAAGATATTTTAAAGTCATGGAATTAAGAACATATGTGTATGTATATATATGATAAAGATTAAGGGCATAAAGCAAAGAGAATTCAGATACTTAAATCTTTTCATATCTGAGATGCTTGTGATTGAAATGCTTGAGCGAATTAAAGAGTGAATTATGCAAATATGAAAAAAGATTGGCATTTTCTGAAAAGGCTGGCTACATGGAATGGTGAGGACAAAAATGTTGATGTAATTGAAAAAACAATAATGCAGAAGGTGCCAAAGCCCACTTCACCTGTTTTATTCAACGATCAGAAGCATAGGATGCAAAGGTAAATAAAAGCAGGAGCACTGGAGTTTGACAGCACCATCAAAAGACAGTTTAGGTGCCGGCTTTTCATACACCGAATACAAATGGAGGTACTGCTTCACCCCCTCCAATACTTTCCATATTGTTGACTTTGATGCCAATCTTACACCAGATTGCATTCAAAAAGTTCGGCCATTATACTTCTGTACTTCAAATGAATAATTAAAATTTAAAAGGTAAGGTATTATTTTTATTATATGATATATAAAAAAATATTTAATGATTAAAATATTAATTTATTCAAATTTAAAACTAATCTTAAAACTTACATTGACGTGATTTTTTTAATATCCTCACATTATCTTTTTACTTAATGATATTCATTTGACAATTTTATTTAAATCAATTAAGAGAGAAAAAATATGAAAACTTAAAAAATAATAAATCTCACATTAATATATACTTAATGATACATGATTAAAATAAAAATAAAATTAATTATATTTTTTCTTTAAAAATATTCCGATAACTAAAATAGATAAAAGGTAATAGATTTGTAAGTTTACCCAACAAAAAATAATGTAAAAATAGGGTAAATTATATGTTTTTGTAACTAAACTTTCCTCCCATATTTCACTAATTGTACTTTTAAATTCTTTTTTCAATTTATTCACTAAACTTTATAGATTGATTTTTGTCACTCTACCATTAAATAATTAAGAGTTATATCAATACAATATCGTTTTAAATTTCAGAAGAAAAAAAAGTTAAGTTTTAGATTAAAATGACGTCGTTTTAATTAAAATACAACCATGTCATAACGTCTTTAATTATTTAACGGTAGAGATAAAAAAATCAATCAATAAAATTTAATAAGTAAATTAAAAAAAAATAAAACTACAATAAGTAAATAAGAAATAGAGTAAAGTTCACCAAACGTGTAGTTTACCCAATAAAATATATGAAACAAATTCACTTTCACGACCGAATATACGCAATAGATTTTTAAAAAAATCAAATTATAATGGGAAATTACATCAGTAAAATTGGGGTTTTATACAATTTAACCAATAACTCATAACCTTTTATCACTAGTATAAATTTTACTACGGATCAAAATTATTCTTTACTTTCAAGTCAGGAGTACACAATGTTCAACCAGATACCAATTAATAAAAGAGACCCAATTTTTAAGCCAGATATATTACTTTCTATGTAAAACAATGCTTCAACATCTACACTAGATGGTTTGAAAAATGCATTAACCATTCATAAAGTTACCACAACAGTTAAACACTCTCAACATAATGTCCCAAAAATTTAAAGCATAGCATTCATGTGATATCCAAAAAACCGAAGTTGACTTGAAAATAGAGTAATCAAAATTACCAGCTGACCGAAATTCTAAACCTTGTGGCACAATTTAAGCTGCAATGGACGGCTTAGAGGCAGCAGAGAGTCTTGATCTCTTCTTGGCCAAGCTCTCGCTCCTGCGTTCACGCTGCTCTTTCAACCTCTGGGCAAGGAGCTTCTGATACTCGGCTGCATCAGCCTTGGCCTTTGCAACTCTCTTCTTCTTCTCTGCAATTCTAGCACGCTTCCTCTGCAAAGTCAAAGGAGTCACCAGCCTTTGAATTTTGGGAGCCTTGCTCACTTTCTTACCTGCATTCCGAAAATTGATTTTGATTTTCCATCAGTAACATGTAAGGGCAAGCTTTTCAACAAAGATAAATAAAACACAAATTAAAATTCTCCCGACAACTCGAAACAAAATTAAATATTTTTCCACTAACCAGACTTGGTTGTAAAGGTCCGACGATAAGTGTTAACATACTTCCTAACATCATCCTCCTTAGAGAGGTTGAACAACTTCCGGATTTTTGAAGCTCTCTTCGGACCTCTCATTCTTGGTTTCTCAGTGTCGGTCAACCCAGGAAGATCATTTTCACCCTTCTTCACAATAACCAAGTTCAGAACTGAAAGATCCTGACTAACAATGCACCCACGAACCGACTTCCTCCTACGCTCACCATTTCTCCTCCCATAGCCACGGAAGCAGGGGGTACCTGTTAAGAAGAAAACAGCCATTCAATAAATAAAAAATCCATAACAGAACAATTCTACACAAAATATTGAGGGGGGGCAAATTTGGAGAGTCCAAAGACCTCTGTGAAGCAAAAGACGAACACGGCCAGGTGTGAGAACTCCTTGCTTCATAGGAAAGCCTTGTTTGTCACATCCTCCCATGATCTTGAATACATAGCCCTTAAACTCCTGTTAAAGGACAATAAGGGAAGTGCAAATCCGAGTTAAGATGGCAAGATTTGCTAGAAAAAATTCAAGACAGAGAAGTAGATGATAAAAGTAAATCCAACACGTACCTCACCAAGGGCATCACCACTGACTTCTTGTGAGACCCGCTTGTCAAAAAAGGCTCGGCTGCAGTTCAAAGTCAGAAATTTTCTCAAGCAACAATTATAATTTGCATTGCCAAAAAATACTTGAGAATACAGCCACAGCCACAGTCAAGCCAAGCCAATACCACATACAAAAGGTGGTTCCAACTTCCAAAAGAAAACAATATTCAACAAAATTATCAGCACTTACTTTAACAGATGTACAATCATCTTATGAAGTAGAAGGGTGTTTTTCTTTAACTTTCTAGCCAAAAGTTCTTCCCGAATATAATGACAAATACTACTAAAGAAGTTTCAACAAAACGTTCAAGTAAAAGGAAACGAACAAACATTTTGACCCCTACTGCCAATGCCGCATAAAATTTATTATGCCTCATATCACAAACATCCAGATTTCTTTAGCAAAAACAATGTTTTTCAGTTTAAAACTTTTTCTGCACATTCTCTAAATACTCTTACAAATTCGATCTCATCAAGCATAACACAGCTTAACAAATAGCGTCCCCAAATGTGGATAGACAAAAGAAACAAAACTTTTTTCGTTTAGGTTCTCCCCGGCGAAATACGAGCATGGAATTCAACATTACTATTCAAACTAGAAGCAACAGATAAACTTGAAACACACGGAAAGAAAAGGAAAATTACAGCTTCTGGTCATCGTCGATTTCCAGCTTCTTCTGGCAACCAGTTGTTGGATTAGCAATGTTGAACTGAAACAAAGAAACTATCAGCAAAACAACATAAAATGATAAAAATATCCCTTCTTTTCTTATAAAAATAAGATGAGAACAAAAAAAAACCTTCATCTTTATGTGATGTATGCTTCTTTGGCTAACGCCCTGTAAGAGTAATACCGCCGCCGCCGCTGGTGCTGCTCTTTCTAGGGTTTCTTTAGAAACAGATTGGGGTCATACAGACAACTTTATATGTAAAAAAGGGAAAAAATTTGGTGTTGTAAAAGGATTTTTCTGTTTGTGTGCCATGATTTTGAAGTTTGGGCTTTGAGTTCATCTGCTAAAGTGGACTTTTTGGACCAAACCAAACATAGACACTTGTATTCATGGGTCCTTATATGTCCAAAAACAAATTATACATGATTTCTTTATTTGAAAAATGCACTGTTATTTATGTTTTTATAGATAGATAATTTTTCTGCTTGATTAGTAAAAATATAACTTTTACTACAATTAAAATCATGATAATAATTTTTTCAATAAATTTAAAAATAAATAAAATATTTATTATTGTTTTAGAATCACTTGTAAATATCGGTACACTTGTTGTTAATATAATAAAAGAGTCTCTCTCTTCTTCTTATCAAAGACCCCTAATTTTGTTCGATACTACTTTTTACTTAGATTTTTAATTTACTATTTTTTATGATTTATTAATATAACATTAAATTAATTATTCAAAATAATATGATATATTTTTCATTTTATAAAGACCTATTTCTTAATTTCGCTTCAGACTCCAAAAATATCTAAATAAAATGAGCATTAACATAACAACACAATACTCGTTTTATATTATTTTAAAATTATAATAATAATTTTTAACATATTTTAATAATTATTTATCGACTTCAGTGGATAATTGATGCAGGGGGTCCGAGACAGATGATGCTGAGCTGTCAGATTGCATCTTGATGGCGTTGAGATACCATGAATTGACAGATCAGCGCAAAGGCGGGAATTGATTGTGACATGTTCCTCATTGGGGTCGTTTTGAGTATGTTTCAGTCTTTTGGCCATAACTTTGGTTACAGGTGTCAGAATCGCGTATAAGACCCCAATCCAGAAAGCTCTTTTCGACGCGCACGCTCTCCACATGGAGCTACTTCAACCTCAAATTCTGCCGTTTTCCCTTCCGAATCACTAGAATTAGATATTTTTTTATTATTTATGGTAATATTTCGATTGTCAATTTAAATCCGATTTAGGTCGGATTTTTTGGAGATTGCTTATTTTATTTCGAATTTCAATTTAGAGTGATTTTCGGGATTTTGTTATTTTCGGCAAAATTCGAATAAAGACGATTTTTGACTATAACAGTCCGGCTTGTGGATTGATTTTGGCATTGTTTGATTTAATAATATTTTATTAAACCCTAGAGACTTTTTTTCTCTGGATTTTTTTAGGCGAATTTTCTCTTGTGAATCATCTGTTGGAGCGCTTGCAGGATAATCATTATTCTGTCTGGCGTCAGTAATATGTACCACCAACGCATCTGGCTTTAGATGCTAGACTGCATATTTCACTTCAAAATATACACCGTGCAGGTTCGTTTATATAGAAAAGATACTAATCGTTATGGCTTACAACAGTTGGTTGACTAAGATATCATATTTGGCTTAGTTCACCCAAAAGATATCATATGTGGCTTAGAGCTCATACCCCGGGAACTTAGAGTTGTGGGGTGCAAGCAGATCAAACCATAGGCAAGCTATCCCACTAAGTCCTTGGAAAAGGGAGTAGCCATGCCCATGATCGCCTCCATGTCCCACTTTTACAAGCTTCCTTTCATTCTGGTACAAGTAACTTCCAAACGTCTTCGCCCTTTCTTCATAAATGCTCTCTCCGGTAAGTCGATAAAGCGATAGAAAAGCATAAGCATTTCCCGCGATACCATCCGCTAGTCCCACCTCCTTCACTAACCCATTCTTCCACACAACCTCCCCCGCTTCTATGGCGGCGTCACGGAATTCTCTATCGTTCGGAAACACCTACGCGACCGAAGCAAGAATTATGGATCGAGATGTATTAAAAATGAAGATCATTGTTTTCATTAAGAACGGCAGAGTTGCTAACCTGTGATGCCTTGGCTAGAGTGATCGCCATGCTAGTTGCACCGTGAGACCACTGCACCAACTTGTCCCTCGGGTTCCCTTCACTTGAAGGGTAATTTCCACTATGTGGGAATCTGTTACTCATCATGTACCTTAAAGTTCCTTTGACATCGACCTCATCATCTTCCGAGAGAGGGAAATGAAGGAGCACGTGCAAGATTCCGGCGAGACCGTTGGTTGCACCCCAGTACCTTGTGCCATGCCATCTATACATCAGCGGACAGGCTGGGAGATCGGAAGCCCCGGTCCTACCCGCAGCTAGTATAGCATCAACGATCGGCATCAGTACATCATTTGGTACCGTTTCTTTCCCAAGATGCTTGTTTAGGAACAAAGCAGCCCATAAGAATCCGGCTCGACCGTGAAGAAGATTGTACGACATTCCGAAACCACCTTCTTCAGGTCCAACCGGAAGAGCCTTTTCTTGTGCTACCTATTATTTTGTTAATTCAAAGAGTAAAGTTAGCTATGTCATAATGCTCTCCATGAACCACACAAAGTGATTAAGGTTGTGGGTCTAAGGATTTTATATTGATAATATATTTTTATCTCTATAAAATTTTATAAATTCATTTCTTTTAAAAAAAATTAATTTCAGTCCTGATATAAAATCTCAAGTTCTTTACTTATTACAGGAGATTTGGTGGGATAAAGAAATAGACCTCGCGGAAAAGATTTACGAAGAGTCCAAGCCTTTGATGGTCCCCCAAATATTTGGCTACCACTGCTCCAAGTGAAAACACCCCTCCTCTACCACATAAAAATGTCACATGTCTGATATTTCAAAAAAAAAATGTCACATGTCTGAAAACAGTTGTTTCATCTAAAAGGAAAATGACCTATTTTCGAAAGAAAAAAAAGAATAAAATATTAATACCGTACAGAAAATTTCTGTCATTTTGTTCTACTGTAAGATTGATTGTTTAAGATATTTTACACATTCTTTAAGATCGATTCAGTACTAGAATTCAGTGCTTCCGCCATTAGAATCCGTACCACCACCATGAATCTCGAACACAACTGTTCAAAGATTAAAGGAAGCATAGATAATGTGTATAAAAAAAAAGTTACCTGGTAGAGGCACGAGAGACAGGGACGCACGAGTCAACGATCTCAGCGGCCAATAACAAGTCCTGCCGATTACCGGTCACCTCGTAAGATCTCCAACAAGTAAAAGCTGTCCCCAGCAGCCCAGTGTACACAGTCGGGTCTATTCCCGTACCCGACCCTCCACCTCTTCCACCTCCTCCTCCCCACGTTACCTCCAGAAAATAACACACCCAAAAAAAAAACTTAAACTTCAAAACAACCTGTAAAAGCTTGTTGTCATATCTTAATTATAACAATTTTCTTGTTCTAAGAAAAAGAAGAAAAAATCCCAAGAAACAAAGAAGCGTACCTGGTTCTTAAGAGCGGTGGCAGCTTTGAGGAAAGTATCAGCGGAGAGTGAGAAGCTGTTAGAAAGCGTTGGATCCACGTTAAGCAAATGATCTAACCATTCATTTTTACCCTCTTCATTGCTTTCTTTAGAAGCGGCAAACTCCATTACAGAAGACATTGATGTCTGGCTTTTGAAACTTTGGTGTGAAGTCTGAAACTTTTTCTAGCAGAGCTAAAGAGAGAAGTATGGAGATATAAAGTAATAAGATGCCAATTTGAATGGATAGTGTTGTTGTGTTGGGCGGTGGTTGTATGGAATGGCGGTGCAGCACATGCGGATAGAGGTTGGTACACGTGGTGTCCCTTCAAGGATTAAGATCGGATTGTCGGGATAAGTGGGGTTGCTGCATTCTACAATTGTTCAGATTTTTTATCAACAATAATTGTTCAGATTCGAATCTGATAAATACTTGAAAATGTGATGATTAATTTAAATTTTAAATAAAATAAAAAAATAATATTGTTGATAAAAATAAGGAAAATAAATATTATAAGATATTATTTAATAAAATATAATAATTATAAAATAATATTTTTATCCTAATTTAAAAATTCAATAAATCTTGCTTTATAATTTAAAATTTTATCAATGTAATTCTTTACAATACTATCAAATCAAACAAATTTATTAGATCAAATCAGTAATAAAATTATTATATTTTATCTTAATGCAGGAGCAATATATTGTATAATATTATTATATTAAGAAATTAATATAAAGTTTTAGAAGAAAAACAAATAATTTTATAGAAGAAAAAGGATCAAAATGACGAGATTTTTTATATATATATTATTAAATTTATTGAATGAACTCAAATTGAGATCAAATTGGTAAATAATATTAACTTTTTAAACTAAAATTATTATTATATCATGTTATTGTTTTATATAATATTTAACTATAAAAATAATTAATTTATTATACTATTTTAGATATAACATTATAATTTAAAAGAATATATATGTTATAAATTCATAATTATATAATATTAGATATAGTTTATTAGGAGAAAAAAAGAGTAGTGCTAACACGTATTGAAACGCCTCCTCTTATTACCAATATTCAATTTATTACATTCTAGTTCTTCATGAACTCATATATAAAGAAAACATGTAATATCAAACGAAAGGTTATCTATCTTTTTTTTTAAAAAAAAATCAGAAAAAGCTCTATCTAACATGCACCACAGCAATTATCATATACATCAATGCGTTCCTAAAGACTTAAGCCAGTTATGTTTATGCATACCTGCAAGGTGTGTAGGCGTTAAAAGAAGCCGAAGCAAGCATGCTCCATCAAATTCCCTCGATGATGAAATTACAGGACCTATTGCACCATCAAATATATACCGAATGAAGCTTCCTATCAGAAAGGCACGATGTATATTACAGTCTTTAACCAACTTAAAGCCCTATTTACGTGTCGTCAAAGTGAAAGCAGTCGGAAACTTTCAGGTGAGTTGCAAGCTGTCTGACAGACGACTGCACGGCATCAGCCTTTGGTGACAAAGAAGTAGGAAGTTGTGGTAGGCAAACAGGAAGATATTGATCACTCTCTTCCGGAGGGCAAAAGGCATAGAGAACGGCTCGACAGAATATGAATCTGGAGAAATTTTGCAAGATACAATCAATTTCACTAGTTCGTAGATGCATCCGTAATCGTAAAACAGATGCAAACATGATGAACATCAATATATTCTATCAATGCTTAGCAGTATTTCCCCACCTCCACTTGATTATGATGAATAACGAATAACAGCAACCCAAACCAGAGCCGACAAGTGCAATGGGGTCAAACAAAATAACATGCGAAATGGCTTTCATTCTTCCCCATATGTCATGAAGTAAATTTTTATCCACGCATGCTTCCATTTAACCAAGCTAAATATATCTTAGTTGTATACACACAGAAGTACTACTAAGATAAATATGAAAGATTAAATACCTAACAATAAGCCGCCTTAAAAAAGGATCGGATAAAACTTGCGCCCAAACTAGATCCAGGCTAGGTGATTTGCAGAGAATCATTTCCCACTTGGAAAAAGCAGTAAATAATATGTTTTCAGCAGTATTTAGAACTTCCTAAAAGTAGAAAAACCAAAGCAGACGAAAGTAAGATCGACTGGCACAGAGATGTACCATTAAAAAGGTAAAATATATATTGAAATTATCTCACTATAGGACTATCGGACAAGGCAAAGCCAACCATTTGGCAGAATGCTTGTAGAGGGGCAGTCAAGAAAAAGGTAAACTGACTTCCATTCTGAGCAATATCAGCGTGAGATGGGTCCTTAAACATTGGTCTCAAAGGCGAAAGGAGTAGGGCAGCTTTCTCTCCTCTTTCTGCACCATGTAAGACCTGAAATTCATGGTGATTTATACTATAAGACACCCTATAAGTGAATAAGAATTCAGATGAAAGCACTAGACGAGATACTGTAAAGTCAACCATCACAAATACTGCAAAAAAACAGTTTAACTACAAGTTTAATGAAATTAGCAAGTCAGCAGACCCAACTGTCTCTTTCAAAAATAAAATAACGTAACAGCTGACGTCCAGTTTTAAACAAAGATGTTACAAGCAGTTCAAATCTCAGAGAAGAGTGTCATAATTTTTAATTCATTGATTAATTACTTTTTATTTTTCATCTCAGCTTGATTATTAAGGATCGTTTTAGATATAAGGTTAATTTCTTTGTAAAGATTCATGAAATCTTGGAATCAACAGCAGAACAGAATGAAGCCTACCCATTGACATTACATACAAATGGTAAAATTCATCTCTTTTGACTAATTTCAATCCATTATTTTTATCTTAAGAAGCATTACAATAAAAAAGACTTTATTTGCACATTGCAGCCAAAACAATCTACCATATAATCAGACATCAGCCTAGGGTTTAATATCTTCTCAAACCTTCAAATAGAGTTTTGCCTGCCTTCTTTTTTTCCTTTTTTTTAATCATAATTAGAACTAGTTCCTTTTTTAAGTTGACTATCCATCACTTTGATCGGCAAAATGCATTGGAGCCAAATTAACTTGATTTGCAAGTTACAGTAAGAGCAATTTATGCCCCATTTAATCCATAAAGGCTACCAAATGATACCATGTCACCTTTTGTATGAGGCAAAACAAAACTGGCACAAACCATGCACAAGTTATGACAAACCTGCCTTGAATGCATGGCTGCTGTCACTATCAACAATCAAGAAAAGAGGTTTCCGAGTAAAAGGAACTATATCACCAGGATAGAGTTTACTTGAATCTGCAAATTCCAGAAAATCACACTGAAGATTAATTAGAACATGCTAAATAATATATAGGAGCTTCAATCCACAAAACCCTCAAGAGTAAAAACTAAAGATAGCATTTTGTATTAAATACGATTATAGCCACCTACCACCATTTCCTTTAGGATCTAACCACAAATAATCATCATAATAGTCACCAGACACTTCCTTGCCATTAATGTGGGGTTCAGGTGCAGAAAAATTATGTTCTAGGGAATCGTGAGAAACAAGTTTGTTTTTGGTTGTTCGCTTAGATCCTCCTGAAGTTTCCACCGGAGAAGCATTGATATGACTAGGTGTTGACGAAAACGGGTAAAGAAAACGAAAGAACACGAGAATTTTACGAGGTTCGGCAATGTGCTTACGTCCTCGGTGCCTAGGCGGCGCTAGAATTTTATTCAATCATATTTTAGGTCTAGGTTACATCTCTATTTATAATAGAAAACCCTGGTACATAATTACAAAATTAACCCTGTACCGTACCGCGGGGGCTGCGCCCCCACACCCCCAACCCACATAATTTGTAACCCCACAACGAGACTTTCTTTATAAGGACAGTTGATGTTCGCTTCGCTCACTCCGCTCCATCTCCTGTCCTCTTTACTGGTATATTTATGAGCCATACCTAACAAATCTCCACCTTGACGAATATCCTGCCCCTTGGAAACTTCAATGTGGGTTGGGTTACCTTGCTTCTTTAACAACTCGAAACATTCAACAAGTCCAAGCAATGCTTGAACTTGTCTGTCGTAACTGGCTTGGTGAACATATCAGCGGCATTCTCATCAGTATGTACCTTCTGAAACAAAACCTCTCCAGATGCAACCAACTCTCTGATCTTGTGGAACCTTACATCAATATGTTTAGTTCTAGCACGATACACCTGATTCTTAGCCAAGTGAATAGCACTTTGATTATCACAAAGCAACTGAACTCCACCTTGTTGAACACCCAACTCCTTCACTAAACCAGTAAGCCATAAAGCTTCTTTTGCAGCTTCAGCCGCTGCCATGTATTCAGCTTCAGTTGTAGATAGTGCCACGACAGATTGAACAGTAGACTTCCAGCAAATAGGCCCTCCACCAAGAGTAAACACATACCCTGTCGTAGATCTTCTATTATCCAAGTCACCTGCATAATCTGAATCCACATATCCTACAACCAAAGGATTATCCCGCTGACTCCCAAAAACAATTCCATGTCCCACAGTACCCTTTAAGTACCGAAAGATCCACTTGACTGCATCCCAATGTTGCTTACCAGGTTTAGACATGTACTTACAAACTTGACTAACAGCATGAGCTAAATCAGGACGAGTACATACCATCGCATACATCAAGCAGCCAACAGCATTAGAATACGGAACCTTTGCCATATTTTCAGCTTCCTTATCTGTCTTAGGGCACTGTTCTGATGAGAGCTTAAAGTGATTCGCCAATGGAGTGCTAACTGGTTTCGCGCTGCTCATCGCAAACCTTTCTAGCATTTTCTCAACATAACCCCGTTGAGATAGCCGCAGTTTCCTTGAGTCTCTGTCCCTGCAAATTTCCATTCCAAGAATTTTCTTTGCAGCACCTAAATCTTTCATATCAAATTCCTGACTCAATAAAGTTTTCAAACCGATAACATCATCCATGTTCTTCGCAGCAATCAACATATCATCAACATACAGTAATAGAAAAATAAAAGAACCATCATCAAGGCTCTTAACATAGACACAACAATCATACTCACATCGGTTGTAGCCAATCTTGATCATATAGGAGTCAAACCGTTTATACCACTGTCTCGGAGACTGTTTTAACCCGTACAAAGATTTCTTCAATCTGCAAACTAAATGCTCGTTTCCAGGTTGAGTGAAACCTTCAGGTTGCCGCATGTAGATCTGCTCCTCTAAATCACCATGCAAAAAAGCAGTTTTAACATCCATCTGCTCTAAATGCAAATCCCAACTAGCCACCAATGCAAGTACTGCTCGGATTGAAGTGTGCCTGACCACAGGAGAAAAGATTTCATCATAATCAACTCCTTTCTGCTGTGAAAAACCCTTCGCTACCAAACGAGCCTTGAACTTCTCCCCCTCTTTTTCTGTTATTGCTGGTTTCTTCTTATACACCCATTTGCAACCAATCGGCTTCTTACCCTCAGGAAGGGGAACTAACTCCCATGTGTGATTGTGATTCAAAGACTCCATCTCCTCAACCATGGCTGCCATCCACTTGTCGTTTTCCTAACTAGTAACGGCATCATGAAAAGTAACTGGATCATCACTGCTAACAGTAAGTGCAAAAGATACCGTCTTCAAAACCCAATCTGTTCGGAGGCTTTATATCCGTCCGTCTCACCCTGTCTCTGGCGAGACTATAATCCTGCAAATCATCCGTAGTGGAACCACCAGAAGTCGGTTGAGAAGTTTCTGGTTTCTCAACTGGAAACTGCTCGAAATCTACCACTGTCGTGTCTTGCTTCTGCTGCAACATAGACTGTTCATCAAAAACGACATCTCTACTAATCACAACTTTCTTCGTAACTGGATCCCAGAACTTGAATCCTTTGACACCTTTCTTGTAACCCAGAAAAATGCACTCCTTCGATTTTGCATCAAGTTTGGATCTCTCATCAGTAGGTACATGCACATAAGCAGGACAACCAAAAATCCGTAAGTTATCAAAACTAACATCATGACCAGTCCATACCTCTTCTGCAACTTTCCCAGCCAGCGATGCCCTTGGCGATCTGTTGATAAGGTAACACGCCATGTTAACAGCCTCAGCCCAGAAGTGTTTGGGAAGCCCCGCATTCAACCGCAAACATCTGGCTCTTTCATTCAACGACCTGTTCATTCGTTCCGCAACACCATTCTGTTGTGGTGTCTTGCGCACTGTAAAATGCCTCTGAATCCCATGCTCCTTACAGAATTGTAGGAACTGTGAATCTGTGTACTCCGTACCATTGTCAGACCGCAAACACTTGATTTTTCGTCCTGTTTGGTTTTCTACCTCAGCTTTCCACAGCTTGAACTTCTCAAAAACTTCAGATTTCTGTTTCAAAAAATACACCCAAACTTTCCGTGAAAAATCATCAATAAAAGTAACATAGTACCTAGATCCACCCAAAGACGATGTCGTGGAAGGCCCCCATACATCAGAATGCACATAATCAAGAATCCCTTGAGTTGTGTGCTTCGCAGTCTTGAAACGGACTTTAGTCTGTTTACCAAGAACACAATACTTGCAAAAATCGAGCTTACAGCTTTTGACACCATGCAACAAGTTTCTCTTGTGTAATTCTGCCATACCACGTTCACTAAGATGAGCAAGGCGCATATGCCACAATTTTGTCGTATCATCACAGGACTCAACAGAGTGAACTCCACCTGCAACGGTACTCCCTAACAATCTGTAGATATTCCCTGCAGTCATCTTGCCTTTCATCACAGTCAATGCTCCTTTAACAATCCGAATGGTTTCCCTATCCTCGTCAGCCTTAGGGATAAAACCATTCTTGTGCAAAGTGCCCAAGGAAATCAAATTCTTCTTCAAGTCTGGGATATGTCGAACACCACTCAACGTCCGAACGGAGCCATCGTGCATCTTAATTCTGACATCACCAATACCAACAATATTGCAACATCGATCATCACCCAAATAAACCGAACCAGAATTAACCGGCCTGTATGTCGAAAACCATTCCCTATTTGGCGTGATGTGATAAGAACATCCAGAATCAAGAATCCAAGCATCCGTCAATTGTGTCGTTGAAATAGAAAGCATATCACCCTCACTGCAATCAGAAGTATCATCCTCGACCACGTTCACAGACTTGGATGAGCCATCACGCTTCTCATCAGTCTGCTTTTTCAACTTCGGACAGTCTCGCTTCATATGTCCCGCCTCCTTGCACTTGTAACAGTGAATCGTCTTCTTATCCCTGGATTTGGATCTGGAATTCCGCTTCCCGGACCCTGCCTTCTCTGGCTTCCGTCCACGATCTCGATTACCCTTGACATATAAGCTATCGGCTTGAGAGCTTTCCCCTGCATTCTGCTTCCGCTGGTTGTGAGCCAACAAGGCTGCAGTAATCTCCTCAACGTTGATAGTCTTTTTCCCATATGTAAGAGTAGCCACCATGTGTTCGTAAGAGGAAGGCAACGAACACAACAGAATCATCGCTCTGTCTTCATCCTCAATTTTCACATCAAGCCGAGCTAGATCAGAAACGATTTGATTGAAGACATTCACGTGTTGCGCCAAATCGTGATCGTCCTGCATCTTCAGCCCATACAGCCGCTGCTTCAGATACAGTTTTGTCGTTAAGGATTTGGACATAAACTGACTTTCCAACTTCCTCCAAATTTCGTCTGGAGACGATAGATGCATGACGTGATACATGACCTTGTCCGCCAAGCATAATCGTATGGTTCCTGCCGCTCGCTGCTGCAATTCTTCCCAATCTTCCTCATCCATTGACGCCGGCTTTATAGGTCGCAAAGCCTTCAAGATCCCTTGCTGCGCCAATAGATCCTTCACCCTCGTTTGCCATAATCCGAAGTTACCCTGACCATCGAATTTCGCGACTTCGAATTTTGCTCCTGACCTCTGATACCAATTGTTGACGAAAACGGGTAAAGAAAACGAAAGAACACGAGAATTTTACGAGGTTCGGCAATGTGCTTACGTCCTCGGTGCCTAGGCGGCGCTAGAATTTTATTCAATCATATTTTAGGTCTAGGTTACATCTCTATTTATAATAGAAAACCCTGGTACATAATTACAAAATTAACCCTGTACCGTACCGCGGGGGCTACGCCCCCACACCCCCAACCCACATAATTTGTAACCCCACAACGAGACTTTCTTTATAAGGACAGTTGATGTTCGCTTCGCTCACTCCGCTCCATCTCCTGTCCTCTTTACTGGTATATTTATGAGCCATACCTAACACTAGGCTTCCCTGCAATTCATCAAGGTGTCAACAGCTCAGAAAAACACCTTCAAATTATTTCCATTTTTTTCTCAGATGGCAATGATGTTGAAGGAAAAGCAAAAATACCCGAGGCTGATAGATAAACCAGTATAATGTTCTCTGGTCGGAGCTCCTCGCAAATTGTAGCCATAACCTGCCCAAACTCATCCGTGACGATTATATCCACATATAAGCCTATGCAATAATACATATTAGCTGACCCTTATTCCCATATGTAATGAGGTAAGGGGGAGGTAGGATAGTAGGCTGCCCCCAACGCCAAGTTGAGAGCAACTTCCGTGGGAGACCTCCAAATTATGAATTGCCCACCGTGGGACTCGATCCCACGACCTCAAGGTTAAGAATCTATGCAATAATACATAAAAGGCAAAAAAAAAAGTAGATGCACTGTTTTAGCAGGTTAGTAGCAATGGTTAAAGAACAGATCCATCTAATTTGAGTAAAGTTTTCACTGAATTACAGATAGTTATTGGTTCATGTAGATATTATGTCATTACCATACAATCTAACATTATATATGTCCATTATCCAACAGAATGATATGATCTAAGTAAAAGCTTTCACAGACAATAATTTTAATGTACCATGACAACTGAAGCTACTAAGAGTAAATCAACGTTGCATATCAACTATCAAGTTCCCAAGGAAGATGACTACATTTAATCTTCTCTTTTGGTCTGGCCCTTTCAAAGAAAAGGAAATATGATATTCATTAAAAGATTATTCGATAATAGCCTAAAAACACAATCAGATAGATCAAATTAAGCAATCTAAAACAAAGGAAAAACAGAGGTCTAATTTCTCCTAGCAATGGAAAATTTTAACAGTAGCAAGTTCAGTTAACAGGCTTTATGGAACTCACTGCTACAAAATGCGTTACAGAGGGTCGATACAGGATAGCCTTCATAGGATTTGGAGGTAAGGTTTGATCAGTCATTTCTGCAGCCAAGTTCATATCTATCAGTCCAGAAGTTCCAGAATAATCAACTGCAACACCATTCTCCTTTGCTTCAGCGAGATGCTTTTGGTAACTTGATCCACTGGGCTCCCACTCTAAACATTGCATCATTCTATATGCATCCAGAGTAAGTTCAGCAAATTTGACCTAAACATGACAATAGGATAAGAGATTATGACAAGCAGAATTTGTAAGCTACACCTGATTTTGAACAATCTTGAAACCAATGATAAAAAAAAATAGATTTCACCTCATTCCGGTAATAGCTCATCAGGATTGCATCTCGAAACTTTAGAACCTTCTTAGCATGGAACCCAGCCACATATGGAACAGAATGTGGATGACAGTCAAACATGGTACAGTATCTAAATGGCCTAGCACATGGAATTGTAAAATTTGTATCCACATTCATAAAGCGGACAATTTCTTGCACTAATAGTTTCCACTCTTTAAAGTTTGTTTCCTGGGAAAAAAATCATATGCCTTCTATCAGTTGCTGCTAACAATTCACGCATAATAACAAGCCCATAGGACATATGAAGTACAAATTTTCAGTAGAATTTTTAAGGAAAAAAATGAAGATCTGAGTCTCTCTAACAAATCCTAAGGTTTATAAGCTAAACTATCAATAACAATAGGAAGTAACAAATAGGCATCAGCACCAATGATCCTCAACAATGACAGAACAATAGTCAGCAGAGTCAGCGGCAGAAATATGCAAGGAGCTCGAGCATATGTGAGCAAAAATATAAAAAATGATTGACCGTAAGTTGCATTGTGTTAATGAAATTATAGTTGAAGCCAAAACCCAAGTGTTCAATTGAATGCCTTAAAGAATATGTAAAATGATTGATGGTAAAAAGGTTACTAAATCTATGTTAGATACGAAGGTAGACCCCATAACTGAACAAAACCAAACCACTGAAGCCACTAATGATCTTTCTACCTTATCATATGCATCAAAAAATTCAAGAATCATTTCAACAGAAACTGTGGCAGTCACAACCAACTTCACTTCTTGTTTGACCCCTTCAAAACCCGAATCCTACAATCCATCATTTTCTTTAAACCTGATCCGAAAACCTTCAAATCTAAAAAGTTTAATGACTCTAATCTTGATGGATCACCCAATGAAAGATATATTGGAAATGATCGAGACTCGATCGTTAGTTCTTTTATTTAAAAATGTGTATTTTTTTTTACCAAAGACAGGGACTTGCTAACAGAGAAAGCCTTCGCTTGTTATTTTTGAATACTATTAATGTTGGTTAGAAGCTTGAAGAGGCTTATTCAATGGTTTTGATAAATGATAATAAAGTTGTACAGATCCATTACCATTATCCATTCAACTGTTAATAATAGAAAGTATTAACTGCGGTAGTTGTTGATTTATTTCAGTCAATTTATTTCCTTAAAATGAAGTAAAATGAGGGGAAGTATGGAATAATAAACTCCAAGCATAATTTCCCTAAAAATTCTTAAAAAGAACGGAATACGAATCCTAAGGTTTCAATCTGAAGTATCACTTACAATAGATGGCAACATCATAACTATAAAATATCCATAAAAAATTGTCACCATATGATTACTTTGTATAAAGGCAGGAAATAATGTAATCAAATTCATCAATTCAAACAATTATATTCTGATAATTCTTCAATTAAATAAGCTAAATGTTATTTTCGTCTTTATTTAAAGAAAGGATTCATTTTGAAGTATAACAATATAATGGTAATCAATAAAAATTAAATGAAGAAAAAATTAAGCTCAAAATTCCAGAATTAATAAAAAAGAGTATATATATATATATACCCGGAAATTAGCGTTGCAATCGTCCACAAGAGCTCTAAGCTTTTCAACAACAACCTTCACCATCTCGGTCCGGTTCAAAATCAGCAAAACGAGTAAAAACCGGGCGTAAAATCTCAACTCCTTAAACCGAACTCCGAGATCGTTCACTTTACACCCTTCAAAATACTTCCTCTTCAGAATCGCTTCATAGAAAACGTAAGCTTCGACCAGAAACCTAGCCTCGCTCGACCTCGAGTACTGTCCGAAATACAGCTGGCCAATCCGACCGGCGATCTCGCCAATCTCCCACCTGTTCAGACCAGCTTTGATAAGCTCCGTTCGGTTGTCTTGCTGGTACTTCCATAATGTCATGTAGGCTTTGAATACTTTCTGCAAATAATGTTGCCCTTGTGACCGTCCGTACGACGGGAAGTCACGGACTCGCGCGAATTTACGGTCCGCGCTCTCCACAAGTGCTCGGAAGGTCTTCGGAACGACGTCGTCCTCTTCCTCCATTTACGGATCAGTGGGAAAAAAGACAACTGCAAATTTCAATTAAAAAATGGAGGCGGATGACTTATCGACGTGTTACGATGGACATCGGTAAATGTTCCGGCGAGGTTTACAGATAGAGAAAACGATACTTAGTGGACTTTTCTGAGCTGAGCTGTGTTTTTATGGTGTCAGCGAAACGTTCCCCTTTTCTTCATTTTTTTCAGGGTGGTTTTTGTCTTTTTGAGGTTTCACAAATTCAGTGTTTTGTGCGCTTTTGATTTTTTTTAAGGATCGTTTACTTGGTTTACTAAATGTAAGAATTTTTTGAAATTAATATTATTGGAATCCAACATTACTATAAAAAATGTTATATTATATTATTTAATTTATTTAGTGAAAATGTAAAATTATAATATGTGATTTGAAGAATATAAAATTACTTGAATGTATATTTTATTAAATTATTTGTGTGATATATGTTTTTTTAAAAGAAGTTAAATTTTAATATTAAATCATAAATATTTGAATGAAAATTCATAAAAATATTTTAATCCTTATATTATCTAATTTTTGAGAAAAAATAAGTTTAATATATAATTAATATATTAAACTTATATTTTTAAATAATTTTCATAAGTGTCATATTTATTTATATATAATATAATATAATATAAAAAATAATATTATAATCTCAAGTGAAAAAATATATTATATTTTAAATTATAAGATCTATTTTTTAATAAATTAAAATTAGACATTGTTTTAAATAATTACATTTTTACAATCATATTATTTTTTACCTCATAAAATTATAAATAATTAATATATTGAATATTAAAAATATAAAATAATTTCAAATACTCAAATTTATTTATATTTTACTAAATTAAACTATTTGTTTATTATTATTATATTTATAATTTTGAGTAAAGTATAAAAAAATAAGAATTCAAAATGATTATTATAATGAGCATTTTTATTCAAAGTGGTGGGAATTGTCTAATACATAATAATTTGGGTAGTGGGGATGAGGGTATATTTGAGAAATTATTCGCGTAGGCGAGTGTGGATTTAAATATTTTACCCATCGTGGGTAGTGGGTAGGTGGTCGATATGAAAATATTATGTGGGTATGGGCATAGGAGAAAGGGTATTCGAACCCACTCCACCCGTTTTTCATCTCTACTCTAGTTTACCGAAGATGGAGCCCCCGAAATTTCTGCATCAGACACCACACCCTCGACTAACCCACCAATTGCGGGTGTCAGGCCTTGGTATTAGTTAGTTAACTTAAAGTGATTTACGCACTTTCTAAGGATATATCCAGACTGAATCTATACTTTCGACACTGGTAGCTTAAAAAAGGAACTCGGGTGTCCTGATTGTTTCCCGAGCATACAAATAATGCTAGTCTTATTTCACCCTACTTTATCTCATTTCTACGTTTGAATTAAACATCATTACTGTTCTCACTTGTAGTCTTAATTGAGAGTAATTAAAGCTTTTGGTAACCTCAACTCTATTTAAAGTAATTTGAATTTCTTGCCCAAACACAACCCTTGGTATTGATACCAAGCCTTCAGTATCGATACTGCTATTTTGTGTATCGATACTCCTACTAGGGTATCGATACTCTACTGATAGCTTGTAAGGAAGAAAAAGAATGGAAGTAGTATCGATACTATTTGCATGTGTATCGATACTCTCTTAATACTTTAACACATTCTTGTTCTGCTGAAGAACAGTATCGGTACTTACTCATACAGTACCGATACCCCTACTCGAAAATACCTTATTTAGGCTCGAAAATCCCACTCAACCTCCCCATTTTGAGTTCCTTGAGGTTTCCATTTTTTATTAATGTCTTATGTGATATTAAAGGGAATAAATAAGGCCTTTAAAACATGCTAAAACACTTTATTAAAGAATCTATCATAGAATTATACTCGACATGTTTAAATCTAACTTTTTAGTTAAAACTCATTTCTAATTATCTAAAATTGGTATAAGGATGCTATGGGTGTGTTACCTGGCTTTTTGGGTTACTAAAACTCATTTCGAATCAACTAGGATTCACTTTCTCTTTACCTATAGCCCTTGAACTTTCTCTCACTTCCTTAGCTAATCAAAAATAAGTAAAGGAATTACTAAATTATCTAAGGCTTAAAACAAGGTTAAAGACACTCTAAATAGCTCAAACTTACTAGAACAAGCTTAAATCTCTTAATCTCCTTTATTCTCTTAAAACCCATTTTTGAAATCTACACTCAAAACTCAAGATTAAGGGCTTAAATGAAAGCTATGAGGGTGAGGATTTGGATTCTTACCTTGGTTACTTCTAACTAAGCTTGGAACTTGCAAAGCTTTCTCCTTTAAGCTTACTCTTGGGGAAAAAAGGAAGATAGTTTGGTTTCATATAAAACACTAAATAAAAAGGGTTTATATCCTTTAAAACAAGCTATGGGTAAATTGGTAATTTAGTCCCTCTCCTTTTAACCTAACTTAAAACCACCAATAACCTTTAACTCTTGGGCCAACCTAAGCCCGATACTCTCAAAAACTAGTTCAAATTGGTATAGAAAATATAATGGGCTCAACTTATGGGTCTCGGATTTATCCAAACTACTAACCCGAGATTCGAGGTATTATAACTCTCCCCTCCTACAAGAAATTTCGTCCTCAAAATTTTGACAGGGCATCTACAATAGATCTTATCCACTAAAACATCTAATCCTAAGGGTTGGACACTAGGTAAACTAGGATGGTTACTGAATATGAAATAGGGTAAAGATACATGAGTTCACATCAGTTGCATCATCATCTTTATGAGTTTGGATCGTAAACTAACGATCCATAACTCTAGGCTTCATACTAGTTCCAGACTAAACTACACCCCTACTGGTCGGAGTAGAAGAAATTCCCCTCTCTGGGATCCTCTGAACTATCGGAGCTGACTATTAAGTCGACATGGGAGCTACATCCTAAGCTTCTGGTCAATCTTGGAGAAAATGGTCTAGGGATCCAAAACAGTAACAACCCATGTTCCCAAGCATGTAAATTCATGGGTGCCTCCTACCACAGAGAGAACAACTGGGTTGAGAAGGCACTCTCGATGATCCCCCAAAACTAGCCACTGGTGCGATAAACAATTTCCTCTTACGCTGACTGATCCTAATCTCACCCCCAATAAAACTCTGTGTCGGTCTGCTAGATTGGCCCACTAGGGTTCTCCAATGCTCCCGAAAGTCTGTCGACCCCTTGGATAACTGGGACGGTTCTGCTGACTCAACAACTTCTCTGCCCTGACCAGAAGTAGTATCATATTCTGTTGTTTTCCTTGCTAAAACTCTTTCTACTGCCTTGGCCTGACGAATTAACTCAGGGAAAACTCGTGATGGATCTACAGCTAAGTGCATCAAAATATCTAAACGAATACCTTTCCTGAATTTTTTACAGCGATAATACTCAAACGAAACTAACTCTGGGGCACACTTACTCAGCCGGATGAACTCTCCTCATACTTAAATACTGATATACTCCATTAGGTTAAATGAGCAAACTAATCACTCATTGTATCCATGTGAGCCTCTCTAACATACTTTTAGATGAACTCTTCCAAGAATCGATCCTAGGTAGGTTGCTCGGGATCTAACGACATATCCAAAGTCTCTCACCAGTCTATCACGTCACCTTTCAACAGGGAGATGGTACAGTCTAACATACCCTTGGGGTGAGATGCAGCTGACGAAAGGGTCCTGAGTGTTTCTCTTAACCACTGGTTGACTACGACAAGATCATCATCTTTTGTACCAAAGAAATCGATGGTACGGTACCTCTGAAACATCTTTGTTGGGGTTTCATGTTGTGCTACTACTAGAGGAACTGGATGGGCTGGATGAACTGGTTGGTTAGCAGACGTCATAGAAAGAGATCTAGTTATACGATCTAAGGTAGTAGTCAAATTTCTAAAGAATATCCATTCATTTACCCCTACGTCTTAAGGCTCTCTGTGCTCGGAGTCTAGGATAAACTCATCTCCTGAATCATTGGCTAAAGAAGCTCTACTCTTGTCTCTACCCTCTCTACTATGGCCTGGGCTCTTATCCATATCTAAAATATGATATTAAGAAGAAAACAATGAATTAATTCTACTATTGCAGATACAGAAGTATGACATAATTCTTTATAAGCATGTGTACTCATAAACTCTTTAACAACACTAATTTGAGGGTCTTAAGAATGTATAAACCTCATTCTGGTACCACTAAATATAACACCCTAAACCATTACAACACACAGTCGACCAATTAGGGTGCTACACGGAACCACTAGAGTGGCTGACCAACATTTTTCTTATTTCTCTTGTTTTAAAATGACTATTTTCTTTATAATTTCAACTGTAAAAATATAATTAAATTTGTACACTAGGGATATCCCAAAATAAATATTTACATTAAAAATAATAATATAGACCGACTTCAAAATACATTTACGACTTAACTTTACAGCAATGTTTATAAATATATATGCCCTTCAAAACACTGAGATATACTTTGATCTGCTCTAGGACTGGACCTCAGACACTCTAAGAACCTTAATTGTTCCACCTAATATGTGTAAGGAAACAAATTCTAAACGTTGAGCTAACTAGCTCAATGCCACACTAATAACTAAATCATACTAATTGTATATCATTGAAAGGCTCAAGCTATCAAGTCTACTACTTTGATTTAGTGAGTATACTTGTATACTCACTCTCTACTTTATGGTAGACATCATGTTGTGCTTGAGGTTTCTATATCTTGAAGCTCAAAGACCCCTCTAGTCTACCAAGGATGACCCCCCGAAATTTCTGCATCGGACACCACACCTTCTATAAATCCACCCATTGCGAGTGTCGGGCCTTAGCCTTAGTTAGTTAGCTTAAAGTGCTTTATGAACTCTCTAAGGATATATCCAGACTGAATCTATACTTTCAACATTGCTAGCTTAAAAAATGAACTTGGGTGTCCTGATCATTTCCCGAGCATACAAACAAGGCTAGTCTTATTTCACCCTACTTTATCTCGTTTCTACATTTGAATTAAACATCATTATTGTTCTCACTTGTATTCTTATTTGGGAGTAATTAAAGCTTTTGGAAACCTCAATATTATTTAAAGTCCTTTCAGTTTCTTGCACAACATAACCTT